GCCTTTGGCTACCAGGTATTTCCAATCTGATCTAAAGTTTATAACCACCTGCTTAATTGTTTTGCTGAACAAGAAATCTTTAGCTGTGTACTTTTATTTCCAGTAGAATACAGGACATCATCTATACATATTTAACGATGATTATCCAGAATTGAGGTAATTATAATACTCTGGAATATCACTTAATGCCCATGAGAATGAAATGCAGTCCAGTGAGGTGCAGGTAACAAAAAGCTGTTGTGAAGGAAAAGTCAGCCAGCAGAGCAGCAGTTAGAGCAGGAGCAACCAATGGGTTGCCTGAAGTCTTTTTCTTGTAACAGCATCCCAAGAAATCACTTCATCTCTACATGTGAGTAAAACCGTGAGTGAAGCCATGATAGGGCACAAATTGTTCCCATTCTAAGATGACTTTCTGATGGCAACCTAAGTCAGTAATGAGCAGAGATTGTTGACTTTTAGCTGTTGCAGAGCTGACTGCCTGTGCAATCGGCTGGTGTCTGTTCAGCTTCTGACAAGTTGCTAACAAAGCCATCCGTCATCACCTTCAGGAGAGACCAAAACAATTCAAGTGTACAAAAAGCCTTTCTCACCCCAACCAATGGTCTCCTTAGGTCAGGAAAACACATTTCTATTGGGAGCTGTCTGGAGCCAACCTAGTGCTAAAGGGTATCTGACCTTCATATGTTACAGAAACAAATTTATTAAGTGACGAAACATCAGGTCCTTTCAGGTCACCATGTACTCACACACCATGGAACACTCACCAGATCCTCTCCAATTTATCCCACACAGAAAAGCAACAGATACAAGTCAGCCCCTGCCCTTGTCCTTCCAAAGGAAATAGAACACGTGTTTAAGTACAGAGGATCAGAGCAGCAAACAGAGTGTTAGATCAAACTCTTCCTTTCACTTTGTCCATCCATCCAATTTTCCTGATGCAGAAATTCATGTAATTGGCAGACAGAACTCTTAGATCAGCATGTAAGCTGGTCTTTACAATGTGGTCACAGGATTTCATTCAGTTACTCCTCTCTTGAACATAATAGCAAATACAGAAAAAAGACATCTAGAAAAAAACTCACTTTTGCTTTGATTTAAACCCTTCGAAAGAACTGTTCTTATTTTTGGTGCTTAGTTTGAGTGAGGAATTGTCCTTTGAAAATTGTCTGGATTATTGCCATAAATTCTCATTGTAGTTTTATTTTAGAATTGAAGACCACTTGAGCATCTGATACTGTGCCCTCATGATAGCACCGCTTTCTTAGGAGTTGTCACCTTCTAATCTTTTACTAATCACTGAGAGCATCCCTGATGCTTCACACAACAACATTAATGTTAATTGAACCACATGTTGCTGTCACATACACAAATTCAGTTCATACTGAAATATAGAAGCCCTTTGAAGAAGTGCAGATCTAAATGTAGTCTTGTCTACATTTTCTTCTTTAACTTACAGAATTAAGCATCAAGTTGTGTCTGTATTACATCAGTGGGTACTGTTTAAAAAAACAATTCTTCTTTAGAACGTGTCTGTAGCTATAGATCAAGATAAGCACTTGACAAAAAAAATACATTGCAAACTAATTCCTGACTAATCAATCTTATCAGTGAGAACAGTTTACCAGCTTTTAATTATTTAATTATCTTTGTTATGCAAGCTTTGTCTACACCACATAATTGCATGATTCTGTTCTGACTTACCTGCCTTTCTTTAGGACATCTTCTTTTCCACTTAAGGCTCCCACTGTTCCCAGCATAAAAGACTCACTATGTCAATATAACAGGCTGATGCTCTTAGTGGTCTGGCCTAACAGCAGCGGTTCATGCACAAGTATAAAGCAATACTCAAAACATGTGCACAGAGATAATTTCTCTCTTAATTGGCACAAGCTGCAGTGAGTCAGAGGCTCCAAACTCTGCAGTTTTGTGCTTTTCTACAACTGTGCCCCTGCTTGATCTAAGTGGTTTCTCAGCAGGGATAGAATAGACCGTCTATCATCACTTTGCCTCCAACAGTTTCACTAAAAACTTTAACTGCTTTTCCAGAAAAGGAGGAGTGGCCATGACTAAGATTTGTTTTGAATGTATTACAACAATGCTTAACAGCATCTCCTGTCAGGAAAAGCAGAAGAAACCAGAGGAGGAAGTAAAGTTTGTCCTTGAAGTATGGAGGCAAGAGTAATGTTGAGAAAATATTAAGGAATTTTTGCGGGGAATAAGAAATGATAAAGTGAAAGAAATAAATCGGCAGGGAAAAAAAGGAAAAAATAATAAGCAATTATAGTACTTGACGTAGGAAATAAAACAAAACAAAAAGGCAAGTATATAAGCAAGAAAAATAGCAGAATCAACAGATGTCAGGAAAACTTCTCCAAACTTTAACACCATCTTCTGGTGTCTCACTGTGTGTTTGATCCTCAAAGTTGCATTGGAGCCAAGCTTTTAGTAAATATAAGAACTTCCAACAATGTGCGTACAAGAGCAACATAAAAGCCCCGTTTACAAATAAGTCACCAGGGGTTATTTCCAGTTAAAGGCAGTGGTGTAACCTGCTTGGGGTATTAGATTGCACAAGCAGGCCTGGTTTCACACATTCACATCCAGAAGTACCTTTTGACTTGCTGAGACATTACTCCAGGTAGGACAGCAGGGCAGAATTAGTGCCTGTTCATTCAGACATGTGATATGAAATCTTAATGCTGCTTCTGTTGCACTGAAATGCTCCAAAATGTCTAACACACTTATTTCAGTGACCTCCTCTGCCCTCATACATAAAAGCATTCCTGTTTCAGCCTAAAGGGAGATTTGGACAAGTACATGGCCTGCACACAGAGCTGCTCCTTTCACTGCTCACCTTCCTGGCTCAGGTCAGAAACAGCACAGGGAGCAGGACAGCAAAGCTGCCCACTTCAGACACTGACACACTCCAGGAAACTCAGTCCCTACTGGCCTAATTCCCTACTTTCCATCATCATCCACCCACTCTTTACCAACCCCAGAGGGCTCCCAGCATCCCAATTCACCCAGTTCCAACAGTGTTATTAGGTTATACAAGTTCATGTCTTTGGAGCAAAGTAGTTAACATGTATATTCTATGTGAATATTTAGTATTGACATTGAATGTATTCATTCCATAGTTTGCATAGAAATGTCCAGTCACATAAAGGTTATAAAAAGAGAATTTCCTAATACTCACATCAAAATATTACAGGCTACTCTATACCCAGTGGGGGTGGACTTGACAGAGCTGAGAAATTTGCTGCTATTTATGTACAACTGACTTCAGTTAAACAAGCAGAGGCTTAGAGCCCCAAGTGTTTAATATTTGGATTATTATACATACTTCATTGCTAATGCTATAGGTATCACTAAAACATTAGATACCTCTATGTTCTTTTTTTTTCTTTTTTTTTTTTGTTCTTTGTTTTGTGATGTTTGCACAAAACTTTCAGGTAGGAAAAAATTCTCCACATCACTGAATTAATGCACACTAAATACTTTCCCCACTGGAATGAAAATTGTAATTCCTATAGAGTTAAAACAGGATATCCTAAAGAAAAAAAAAAAGAAAGAAAGGAAAGAAAAAGAGGAGTGTATGTTTAAAATTAGCAGTGGTCTATTTATTCAGTGTGTAGGGGAAAAGGAATGTCATTCCCCCGTTTTCACTGGTGAGCTCTGACTTAAATTTACTGAGTCATAAATATTTGGCTAAAATAACTTTATGTAATCCTGGGGTGGATTAGTGCAGGTATGGAACTCAAAGAACTGAATGACTTGTGTGAATACATGATACTTACAGGTTGGTAGAAGTTCAAAAGACATCATCAGACATGGCCTCTGGCCAGGACACACATGTGAATTTACAAATTAAGTGCCCTAAACCCCATTTGACTTAACCTATTTTACTGCTATTTTCTGGTGTTTTTTTACTCCTTTTGTTATTTTAATCTGATTAAAAGCTTTGCAATTGATTCAAAGGCAGATCTGGATTAGTGCAACTGTACCTAAACTTTAGTCACTGAGGTACTTAATGGCGTGTGTAGAAGTTCACAGTCATACAGCCTGAAGAACTTGAATTCCTAAAGTAATTTGGTTTGGGGTTCATCTGATCTCCTGATTATTTTTTTACTGAACTGATCACTGTGGTTGCTACAGGACTGAAACCTAATATCCTTAAGTCTTAGTTACTCAACAAGACAGGATATATACAATGGTGTAGAGAAAGGAGGCCTCAAACCTTCGGGATGTAGGCAAAGTGTCACCCTTCCTGATGATTTCTTTCCATTAAACACTGTCAGTACCAGACCCTGCTTTTCTGCACGTGTGCTCCACCCCCAGTGCCCTGTGTGGGGCTCCCAACTTCCAATCCATGAGAAATGTCTTCAAAAACTGTTTTTATTATGACTTGAAGTATAATGATGACTTATGTTTGCCATTCCACAAAGCATAATTGCAAAAGGCTTTCTTTTGTGACGTCTTAAAATCTAGTGTATTGAATTTAAAAAGAAAAAAAAAAAAAAAAGAAAATCATTATTTTAACGTACCGGTATTTTTCTATTTTAATTTTTATCCAAACCAGTACAGTTGCACAGACAATCACACACTGTTCTTCCCTTCCTATAGAGTGGGTTATTAGGAACAGATTTCTCCCGGAAAATACCCGCTGTTCCCTTATTTCACTCAGGCTGTGCCCAGCACACGGATGGTACCTGGACCGCGGGAGGGGAGGTCACCGCGCCGGGCGCTGGCGGCACCCCCTGTGCCCCCTCCCGGCAGGTGCCGAGGTCACCACGCTCCCGGGGGCTCGGGGGGGCTGCCCGGGCTCCCGGGGCAGCGCTCGGGCTCCCTCGTCCCGCCCTGACCCCGCCGGGGGCGGCTCCGCCTCCGGCTCCCCCCGCCCGGGCCGTCCCCGCGGGGTCCCCCGGGGGCCGGGCAGGGATCCCCCGCCCGCTCCCTCCCGCCGTCCCGCTGCCTCCGCCCGCCATTCCCGCCGCACTCACTCGGGGGTGTTGATCCAGATGATGTCGAGGTGGCAGTAGTACACGCACTCCTTGTCCTTGTAGGTGTAGCAAGTGCAGCGCCGGGCCCGCGGCCGCAGCCCCCCGCCGTCCGCCCTGGCGCGCCCGCCGCCCGCCGCCGCCGCCCCGCTCGCGTCCCGCTCCCGGTGTGCCGGGTCCCCGCCCGCGGGGAGCGCCGAGCGGGGCCGGGGCAGCGCGGACCCTGCGGGGAGGCAACAGCAGCGCTCAGCTCCCGGAGACCCCCTTTGTAACAGCACCCGACCCACCCCGGCTCCCCCAGGAGTTTCGGGGCGCTTAAAGCACCGTTATGTTTTCGCTGCCCCACAGGGATGCATCGCTAAGGCAGCGCTTTTGTTTCAAACCTACGCACGGCCAAATGATGTCTTTTTGGAGTTTGGTTCTTTACCACTCACTCCCGGAGCGGGCTGTTGCTTCACAGCCTTTTGGAAGGAGGAAAAAGGAAAAAAAAAAAACCAAACAACAACAAAAACACGAACCCACCCAGCCTTTCTTTGTGTGCATGCGTGGAAGTGGCAAAGAAAGAAAGAAATTCGAGTTACCTGCAGTCGACGTAATCGTAAGTCCAAAGAGGAACAATAAACCCAGCTCCATTAAACCCAAATTGCACGCTGGTTAACTGCAGGCAAAGGTGAACTGCAGGGGCGACTGAACCGTTCCAGGAGGAATCACTTCAGGTTGGAGGCAGGGAATATCCTGGGGCTGGCGGCACACGCTGCTCCCCGGAGTTAGTTCCCACACGGAGGTGTGATTAGCAGTTCTCCCTTGCAGTTATTTTCCTCCAGCGCAGGCTTAGTCCTGAAGCGGGGAGAGCGTTGTCAAAAGAAGGGAAGATCCATCGCTTGGCTTTTCCCACACACACCTCCCACCCCACCCCCAAATCCGATCAGAAAGCGGAGCTGCTGTTTTCCAGCTGCAGACGCCTCCCACCCGGACAGCTGCCGGCCTCCCCCGGGGCCGGGGGGCGGGCACGGCCCCCGCTCCCGCCCCCCGCTCCCCACCCGCCAGGTACAAGCAGGGGTAGAGCAGCACATCCTCCCGGAACAGCCCGGCCGAGTTGCTAATGCTGCTCCTGGTTCCTCGCTTGTCAATGATCTGATCCTCTTGCTCCATGTCTAATTCCAGGAGGAATCGCTTGTGCGATGGAAACGCAGCGTTTTGACTCAAAGCTGGGCTACGTCTTTTGAAATTGTTTGGGGCTTATTTTCTCCCCAAGACTCTGCCAGTGATTCCCCAGGCGAAATTAAGTCAGCAATTAATTAATACTTTCGTTTCTCCAGTTACTTATGAGCACCTGTTTGTGGACAAACCTACCTAGAGTGTAACACTAAAGGCAAAAGGGGATTTCATATTGTGTGAAATACCTGATAGTTGGGCCTAGAAAAACACTCCTGCATGTGGCCCCATTTTCTATTGTAATATCAGCTCTTAGGTGATAATAGGTAAGGGTTTAAGGGAGTTGGCTCTATCTTTTTTTACAGTAGTATGTGTAGTATGTCCTGTTATAGGAAACATATGTTATAGACAGCACATGGAAAAATGTCACAAATTTAATTGTGGATATTTTAAATCAAAACACAATGTTTCATTTAAGAATATTTCAGTACTAAGAGAAAGAACTCAGCCAAGATTTCTTTCGTGTATCACACCAATTTGACATATTCACTAAAATGTGGTTTGTGTGTAGCAAAGTAGTTGCAGGATCACCCAGGTTACGTTATCCCTGTTCTCTACTGCCTCACATTCTTCTCCAGCCCTGCCCCCAATTCCAGCTTCTGGTGTGGACTATCCAGTAACACTTGCAAAAAAAAAAAAAGCCTCATTAAGATGCCATGTTTTGTCAGTTATCAAACCTTGCCTTCTGTCAATCTCTGCAGATTGAGAGTTTTGTGTGAGAGCTGTAGTTACCCAGCTAAGAACAAGAGCACGATGATCATCAGGCAGGGTAATAGCTAGCAAGTTCCATTTTCTCAAGTTTTGCTGAGACCACAGTTCTCTGTGGAAACTTAAATTGCTTTTGTTTCACACGATTTGTGCAAATTACAAGATTTTGGAATATAAAATTGAAGTGCCAGAAGTATTAATCGTGCCCTATCTCTAAAACCCAGGTAGAAAACACAAGATTTAAGGTTTGTACCCTCTGCAGTGAGTGCAGCTCATGAGGACACACGAGTTTGCTCAGGTACTGACAGCACTGAAGCACTGAAAAGGAATTGTGAAAGCACCTTAGGAGATTTTAGTTCTGTTAATTTGAAAAAGTTTCACTGCAGTTGCTAATTTAAGGGAAAATAGAGCCCATGTAAATTTGTGAAGTCAGCATTATAGTGAAGTTCATGCTGGAGCTCGGAAAGTAAGTGCTTACTTACCTTTGAGGAAGAGTAGCTGCAGTGACCTGAATGTTTGTACCGTTTGCTTTGCTGGTTTGTGGGTTTGTGTAAGTTCAAGTCATGCTCTCCAAGCATCAGCAGTTACAGTTTGGCTTCACAGTTGCATAGGTGCTCTACTTTAAAAAATATTGTGACAAAACATCCCTGAGAGAAAAAATTGATTTGAAGTTGTTTGCATTTCTTATACGACTAGAAAAATCAATTTCTCCAGATCAGGAAGTTCTAGATATCGTACTCTTGTGCTGTTGGATTGATTTTGACAAATGATTGCATTTTAACTTATCTGGAAAAAAAAAAGAGATTTATTGTGCTGTTACTGTGTAACAGAACTCTCTGCAGTGAGTAGGAAGTACTGATTACATGTTGTGGGTGTGACAAGTAATAATGACATGAGTAAATTCTGCTTCATGGATTTGATTTTCTTCATTGCAACAGGGTGTCTTTTTTAACACTAATGCAAAATTATCATAGAAATTAGTCATATATAACTGTATCATACATATAGGGGCATTATAGCAAAAAACCAGTCTCGTTGTGTGTGAATTGATTTAACCACGTTTTCCTAAAAATTACTGGTTTATATTTTGAACAAGATTGTGAAGGCCTCTTCTACATTGCTCTGCTTTTTCTTCCATATGCTGTTTAATCTCTGAAGAGCCAGGGGAGACCATATCAGCACTGATACCGAGTGCTGTGCAAACAAAAGAAGTAATAAAATATATTCTGAAATTATCTATCAGGGTTCAGAAATTAAGGGCAAGGGTTTGATCAAATGACCTTATATAAGCTTTAGATGAGGATAAGACATAGATTGTACAGAAAGAAAGACTGTCATCAAAGGAATTAATTCTCCTGGATACTGTAGGTCTGATTCACGTTTGCATTGATTAGCAAGTTATTTGTGTCACACATTACCTAATGACTTGAGAACTTTTTGTTTCATAAATGCAGCAGTCTCAAAACAAGAATGCTGGTTAAGCAAATAGCAACAAATAAATTTTAAAATTTATTTGTTTGGGTAGTAATAAAATATGTCTGGGTATCAGTGTCAGTGATACTCGCATGTGATGCAAAATGGTTTTGTAAATCTAAGGATTATGTTTTCATTTAGTTAAAGAGTAGCAGCCATTGAAGTAGCAGGCAGAGATTGGAAGCCAAGAGACCTAATTCATAGTATTTTTCAGCTTTTCCTTTAAAATTGTTTTAACTTCACAGGTTCCTTTTTCTATTTCATTTTCAAGGTCTTTACTGTGGATGGGTACTTTGCATAAATCTTGAGAGCCCTGGACAAATGGGTGGAGTTAATCCTTCTCCTTTTGCCTTCTAATCTTCCCAGCTCTGACCTACTCCTTGTCCTTGTGCAGGAGCAGCCTGGCAGTGCTGTGAGATCCAGCTCTACTCTCCACAGACAATGGGAATTCCCCACTCCTGGGACACTTCCTCATTCTTAGGGCCACCCAGGCAGCTGAAGGAAGACAATCAGCAGATCTGCCCTGTTGCCGGGTGTAAATATTGTATATTTGAGAACTTCTAATTGACTGGAGGGAGAATATATCTTAGGGATGAGGTCAAGGCTGAAGGAGTCCTGGAATGTGGAGCAGCTGAAATAGATGATGTTAAGGAAAGTAAGCTCCGATTCCGGATTTTATATGCGAAAACTCCAGACTGCCATTTCAATTAGGAACATAATCTTGGTTTTGTTTAGTGTTTCTCTGCCCCTTGTATCTCTACTTTATACATACCCTTATGTGATTGTGGAGTAATCAGAGACTCCAGCAGTAATTCCACAGCATTTAACCTTCATGGTACAGGTGACTACACAAAGCAGTCAGGAGTTATAAAGAAGTTCCAGATGTGTTTAAATAAGGTTGGTTACTGAGAGAAACCACTTTAAAAGCCAGCCTTCTAGGATGTATTTACACTAGCAATAAAGCCTGTATTTAAAAGGTAGTGTAGGGTTTCAGCAGCAGTGGAGAATTTTTTGGCACCGATATCTATTCTTACAGCCTCAAGCAGGCCGAGAGGAAAGCCTGATCAATACAGATGGGATAGTAAATAAAGAACCCCAATCTATTGGTTTATAAACTATTCATATCTCTTTTCTCACCCTCTTACTTCCTTCTTAATCACAGTGTTCTTTAGTGTTATTGAAAGAAAAGATCATCTTAAGCTGCAAACACTGTGTTTAGTAACACAGTCTGCATCACTCTCACAAAGCAACTTCATAGTGGTGGCTGATGTTTGAAAAATGTGCTGAGATCAGGAGGTTCTCCAGAAAACCTTATCTTCTGATTATTATTTGTTACTTTTTGCTAGAGTTCTATAGCCAGAAAGCTGAAGTTAATCTTGTCTACTCTCCTGTTACAGACAGCCCTTTTCAGAGCCCTTTGATGTTAGTGCAAAGAATCCCATTTTTAGTGGCCTTTGAACCAGATGTAGTAAAAGGGCAACTGAGCATTTGTAGGGGTTGCAATTGGGTAACTTGCTTGAAGGAGGAGAATTCTGATACCCATTTCTGTTTTCTCATTCTTTTTATTTCCTTTAATATTTATATACTGTTAAGAGTAATATAGGTACTTGGTAAACAGTGAAGAGAACAAATGCCTCTGTTCTGACCATATTCCACTTTATTTAGATAAAAGCAAAATAAAGAAGGAGCTCTGTGGCTGTTTTTCAGCCACAGTAATTTAATGATTCCTGCTTGTTACAGCTATTGTGAAATTTAGGAAGGAGTTTGCATAAGATAACATATCCTGCTGTTGTAACATACTGGAGACAGAGCTCAGATCTCTGGATAAGGAATGCTGCAAAAATTCTAAGTGTTATTATCACTACACACCACTCTCCCCAGGATCTGAACCTGACCTCCCTTCCTTGATCCAAACAATCTCTGTCTTTGTAAAAATAACAGGATTTTACAGAAGGAGAATTGTCTATAATTATTACTTGAAACAGTTCTTTTCCTTGACATTTATTCAGGTTTGGGCACGCTACTGAACAAAGAGAATTCCATATCAAAATATGATCAATCTGAACACTTCTTGTGTTTGTAAAGAATGGATAGAGGTCTGCCAGCAAATAAGCTGGAGGCAAAAAACTCAGGTGACTGCGTTGCCAGAACTTTAAACGTTTAAAAATGAGCAAGGCAGAGAGGCAGAGCCCTGGGAGGGACAGCTGGTTTCTGGAGGTGCACTGGCAGGAGGAGGAAGACACGAATACCAAAACAAATCAATTTGGACAGAAGCCAGTCTGGAGGGTGATGTGAAGAGGGAGGGAGTGGTGTGCATGTGTAAGGATCTGGGTGCTGGCCTGGTTTTCCTCCCTCAGCAGACTGGTAGGAAACTTGTGGTCACTTGGTCGAAGTGTGACTGGCTGGGGAAGTCTGTAGTGCTGGGAGGAAAGGGAGGTGTAAAGATAAGCTGGAGGAAGG